TCGACAGCGGTAAATCGTTTCGGCAGTAATTTGCATAATTGCGCAATAATACTACGGGACTACAACGTTTTTATCAATCATATACGTCCATATTTTAACTTGGATAACTTAATTTGAAATTGAAAAGGCTAATTATGGAAGATTTTAAGATATCCCGACATAGTATGGGAGTTTTAAAGGATCAAATTCATGTACTTTTTCTTGGGCTGTTAATCGGTTGAGGACACTTTGCGCGAGTGTAGCAGACGAAATCCCATGTAGATGACTTAGCTCTGAACGCGCCTGAGGGCGCGTCCGTCGCAACAAATGAAAATCGGAAGAGATCTGATTGCACTGTTTCGGTATAACTCTCACGTGTAAAACACACTAAATTCACATGTGCCAAAAGCAGACGGCATGTAAATGTATATGGGGCGTTCTTTAACATTCTTTTGTCGATTTGACCATTGTCAAACTTAAAGATTGATGGTTGAGTAATATTAACTATCTAAAAACTAAAAGCCTACAAGTAATGTACTTGTAGCCTTTTTGCGCGGGCGATTATTCATGAAAACCGTAAAAAAGACAAAGAAAAACAACAACAAATCAACACAAAAAAACAACAAACAAACAAAAAAACGACAGCACATTTTTCAAGTATCATATATCATTGAGAATAGTTTCAACTTGACCAATCAATAATCGGTCATTATCAACAACAAAAAGTTGACACGGTAAATGTCACTGACTGTCAACATGGATATTTCTATAATTGTCAAGTTAAAGGCCCACACGTACATGATTGTTTTGAGGAACGCTAAAAAAACTCACTTACGCCCGCTGGCTAAACAATTTTTGTCAAGTTGGTTCCCGCTGATCGCGCACTCTTATTTGAATATTGGCTCGATAGCAAGGAACCATTTTGGTCAAAGGTCACAATAGCTTCTAATTGACGTTTATAGAACGGAGAACAGCGTTAACGTATTATTTCTAATTGATCTTTCTTGTAAATAACAAATATAGCAAATTTTTTGTGTGTTTCAAGATAAAAGCCGTGCCACAATTAGTGCTTGCTTAATCGAATATAACAAATTAATTGTCTTTTACATATACTGACCAGTGACCATTTTCGGTAAGGAAATACATTCAATCAGACATACATTTATTTTGCTTTCTGTCGTTTTTGATTTACTGTTTGAATCACGTAACGTTTTTCGTCGCATGTGTGTTTCTTTTTAAAATCTAAACAAATCATTATTTTGTTTCGGATAAATTTTGTTTCGGATAACTGGAATTTTGAATGTTAATAAAATCTTCGTAGTTATTACTCGAATTAAGCAAGCACCGATTGATTTTACTCCGAAAGTTCTTATTCCTGTTAATTAAGGCTTTCAAGATGGGCGAACCGGCTCCCAAGAAAAATCTAAATAAAGTGATTGTAGTAACTTTCATGATTGGGATGATCTTATTTGTCACCGGATACGCTACGGATTATTGGACGGATACGGATATTAGCCACAGCGGCCTATGGCGTCATTGTACTCTTGACGCCTGCACGGAAGGCAGTTTTTCAGAAGTGTTTAAAGTGCTGAAAGAAGAAAACTTAAGTATGTATTCAATTACCGTGAACAATACATTTTCTTGTATTGTTACAACTTGTACGCATACTTTTGTTTGAATACATCTTAAAATTTAACGTATGTTGATATTGACTATTTCCGGAGCATACACTGCTGTATCGGATGAAATGATATTGCTTCAATGTAAATGTCTATCTTGTGTCCTGTCGTTATTAGCCCTACTTTCGTAAAAAATGGAGCTTTTTCATAATTCCTTCCTCGGCGTTGGAGATGGTTAACCTTTTCGTTAAGGCCCATTCTTTTCAGAAACTAAGAGAATCCATTCACTTCAAACTTGTATACATGTTTATTATTTTAAAAGAACGTCATTTCAAAAGGGCACACATAAATAAAATAAAAATTTCAAAATTATGCGCCTTTTTTCAACTTGGATTTTTTACATGTTCACTATCAAATATAAAAATTCTAAATTTCATTAACTGTTAATGCACCTTTTTCCTAAAGTGTTTCTTTTTTGCGGTGGTCAACTACCCAACGACTGTCAAAGTTAGTTACTTCTCACTTGCAAAACGTTTATTTTTTCAATTGAAATGCATTACAAAAGTGCAGGTAGTCTTGCTCTGTATTGTTCCCTTTATTTACTTGTTAAATCTTTTTGTTCAGGTGCATTTCTCAAAAACTAGGATAATTTGTTCATTGCTTCATTTAGCTTGACGTTTTCCTTTTTTTATTTAAAACATTTGGCTTTTTTTGTAAAAACGATTTAAGTTTTCTCTTCTTACTTGAAATATATTTACGTTCAAGGGCAGATAAGTCTGTCAATCATTTTTGCAGAATTATTTTGCTTTTATTTAACAATCCAGCACTGAGAAAAGTAGAGCGCGCTGTCTGCGGTTAAGTTCTTGTTTTTTAATGTTGTAAAAGCGCGTTGTTATACGACTCGTGAAATAAGTGTAACGGAGAACAGGGAAAACATAAACGAATTTAGCAAAATAAATGTATATATGATTCAAAGAGGTGGAAATAAGAAAGAAAAGACAGGCTGAAGATATAGATCCTGAAGTGCGCGACAACGAACATGACAGAGAACGCGAAAGAGATTTCGAACTTGAACGGAATACTCCGGAACATGACGAAGAAGAGACACATATCCGTACCCAAAAAGTAGTCGTCCATCATCATCACCGGCACCCAGTAAAGGAGGTGCGCAGGGAACCAGAAGTTTTTATGAATACGAATGAAATTAATACACCGGAAGAAATAGTCGAGGAGAAAGAAGGTATATTTAAAGAGCAGCCGGGTCAAGAGCTATTGTACATGTATACAAAGTGAATTCCAATTCCGGAAATCATACTTGGATTCCGGGGGTTTGCGACATTTTCTTATTAGGATGTGCGTGTATGGCATTACATTGTACCATTTTATTCTAAAATTTATATTTTATATTGAAAAACGTGTCAATCCGCGATGTCGCAAAGATTGCTAGTAAATTCATATTATACATTCTTTATTCTTAGCAAAGGTTGCTTGTAAAATATACATTTTTTCCCGAAACAATTGTGCATATTATGTCACTGGTCAAAAGTAATAAGTGACAGTACATGTATGTAAGTAATGCCCCTGGAAAAGTTACATATATGTGCCGCCCTTTTTGTGCACTTCGGTCCAGTTTACACGCCTATGTTTTTCTTTCTGATTAATTGTAGTCACGTGATTTGACACTCGAGGACTGTCAACATGTCATGCAGTTTTACTTAACTTTTTAGAGCATTTTTATATCATAATGGGTCATATATCATTTTTGTATTTTTAGTATGGTGTAATTTATCATTTTATGATTATTTGAAAGTACGTTTCAGATAGAACGTGACTAATCAAACAAACATTCTTGTGGAGGCGGGCACTTACATTGCTCGAGGTACACCTGTTACAAAAATAAATGCAGCCGTTCAAAGGCTTTGAATAAATAGTTATTCTTTCTGGCTATACACTGTTCTTTTACAAAATATAATTAGGCCGTAATTTAATTGCTTTGGCCGCATTTATAAACATTCCCAATCGCAATTTTTCGGCCCTGTCCAACTCGGCGATATGTTCCGAATACAACATTTCGTCATCAATAATTATCGAAGCGTTCTGAATGCCTTCCAAGTCCTGAACCGAAGCTGGGACAAAGTCCCAGACCGAAGTAAACCGAAAGAGGACGAAAAGTTGTGATTGTCATTTTATCAGTGAAATCACAATTGCCATTATCTTTCCGTCAGACTTTGAATAAGGATTGTATGCATATATGAAACAGATCTCCACAAAATAATGAATAATCGGCGATGTACTCCGAGCACTGTTTTAGTTGTAAAGGGTTTTACAACTACGTTGATTTAGCGATGTCGTCACATTAAAGTCCACTTGTCTCAGTTTCCCCCCGAAGGACTCGTGAGGTCATCTTCACACGCACAGTCCATAGATGAAATACCCCCTAGACTATTTAGTTTCTTTTTAAGTTCTGAGTCACATTTTAGAGCATTTGGACTGTTGGTTTAATCAGTGGTTCATCTAATTTTGCTGGATTTGAATTATCCGTTGTTTTTATGGTTATATTACGTGCTATATTAAATGGTTTGATTTCTGAAATGTATTATTAAAGGTGCTATTTCTTATGCGTTACAAGTTGGAAATAAAATAGTTTTCTTAGCGTTTGCAAAATATCTTAAGACAGCCGTGCGTGCTTAGTTTATTAAAATGTATCTGGGAATCTATAAATAAAAAAGAGTTTTGACGTTTAGAAATCTTATTTTGATATTAACACTTTTTTTTAAAGGTTTGATAAAAGCTCTGAATAATTATAAACACGTTTGAAAATTGCTGAGCAAAATTTTCTCTTTTTTATTTGACAAATGAACTGAGTTGAATTTATTTTTATAATATTTTAATCTATTTTTTGAGAAAATGTGTCTGAGGTTTGTTTTACTTTTGCGGTAGTAATTGGTAGTCAGTTTACTATCTGCTCGATAATTTAAAGATAATTGATAATTCATGCTAAAAATGTCATTTGATAATATAACGGTAGCCTATTTGTTACTAAAGTTTTAACGATAGTTCGGGCCTTCTTTCGGTCATTCTTTAAAATCAACATTTTGAAACTTTTGACTGTGAGAAAGATAAGTTTTAGTTGATTTAAATCATGGGATGATAATTTAAAATACATGTGGTGATAATTAAGTTATACAATGATAACTTGACATGATAATAGTTGATTAGTACATTTATAACATTAGACCAGTCTTATTAATACAATACAAGGTCTAAATATATCACACACCTACTGGCACGCGGTATCTGTCAATGCTAATTTCTCAGAAAGCTTGATAGAGTTACTTATCCTATGTTCTTGCCCAGCGATTTACTGATAAGCAATAGAAGACAGTTAGGTTGGCTGCTATATTCTATTTACATACACAACCTCATCTTCATTAGCATTCTACTTTCTTTTTCTGTCTTTCTTTAATGTTTTTGTTTTGCTTCACCTATAGGCGGGATAGAATATATTTTGGGATTGTTTGCATTCTTTTGAAAAGTAGAAAGGAAGTTGAAAAAACATACGCGTGTGTGTGATCTGTATTCTGTTGAAGAATTCTATGAATTTATTGCCAGTGCATCGACAGGTGTGATGAAGTTGAACTTCTTACTGGTGCTACTAAAAGTTTTTACTCAATTTTAAAGTGTGATTCTCCTGGGCTTGAAGGTTTAATGGTAACTCACTTTCGTACAGACGGATTTAGAAAACTGGAAATTGGCAGAAATTGATGCTTACCTGATTAGAATTTTATCTGTCTTTTAAACAAGGAAGGAATAATCTAATTTTAGTTTTATCTGTAATACCGTACGTCATTTACGTAACCGTTTCAGTGACTGTGAAGGATTTTTTTCATTTTCAAATAGTGGAAAAGTTCTATGGATTATTTTAAACATAGATAAACTGTAATTAATGAAAACTTGATTGTGATTTTCATGTTTTGTGATATATGCTTGATTCGGAAACATTACGGAACTATCCGACAGCTGTAACATTAAAGGGAAGTTAAAGGTTATAAAATAAGCGTTCCGTAGCAAAGCTTTACCATACCTTGTGAGTTACATGTTCGGTAACTTACGGAAGTGTTTTTATAACCAAAAATCCACATATAAATACAGTATTCAGCGTTTTTAAATCATTCCAAAAACAAATAATAACAATGGAATGCAGTTACAAATATGCCACTTTATTGACAAAAATAGTGTTTGTACTGGTTTTGGTGGCCTTATTGCTACACATGATAGGGTTTTATACCACGTACTGGGCAGTGTTTGACTACATTGACCCGTTCAGAAAGACCGAACTTCTTCAAGTTAGAGAATACGAGGGCATGTGGAAATATTGCGTTCAAACTCGATACATGATGAAATGTCATAATTTTAAAAGTCATGGAAGTAAGTAAATGCCTTTTTCGTGCAGTGACACTTGCATAAATGTACACGTGCAATGACACGTACATACATACGTGCAACGACACGTGTATATAACGTTTATATACCTTTATACTGATATTGTTGTTTTTGTTGTTGTTGCTGCTGCTGCTGCTGCTGTAGTTCTTGTTGTTGTATGCATTTCACGATAGTTTCCTGAATTTTGTAAATTTTAATATTACAAACATTGCATTAATATAATTTATTAAATATCTTTGTATCGTGTAATGAATGGTCTACTAGTATTAAAGGCCGAATAATTCATGTATCGTACATGACAAATCAATAATGTTAAGATGTAATAGGTTTGTAAGGGAGACATTGGGTATACAGTTTCATTTACAACTAGTACTACTTACTACATTCATGTAAATCACTTGTATTGCCAATCGGAAATTTGTAAGATTTAGTTTTATCACTTACTGTATAATTAGGATTTACAGATTACAGTGAAGCCTCTACAGAGCAAAACCCTTTAGGAGACAAAGATTTTTTGGTTGTTGAGATGTGTTGCACAAGAGAAGTTAATTGATTTGATTATGTCTTACTTTGGGAAAAAATTGAAATTATTGAAGAAAAGAGGTACTTGCTTTACAAGAGGGCTGCTCTGCAATGGTTTCACTGTGTTTTAAGAATAAAAAAGTGCGTTACGTTCATTTATACACTCTTAAATGACAAATAAGGCCCGCTGTATTTCTTCAAATGAATCATTCGGGGAGCGTTGGTCAAGTAGTTAAGATATCTGCCTCTCAACCGAGGGGTCAAGGGTTCGAGTCGTAATTGGGTCATGACCATGTCTCCTGGGGTGACACCAGTACTGGTGAGTTCTAGAATGCGGACTCAAAAGTGATAAGTAAGTGTTTGAAGAACTTGTTACTCAATCTAACTTACATAAACAAGATTGAACTATAATTAAGAAAAAGAAAACATACAAATTATACATGTGTGAGATTGGATTTTTTTTAACCATTGCATGGGTCTCTTGGATGTAATATATTTCCTATCCCGATTCATTGCCAAATTAAAGGTAAAGGGGACTGGTTTGACAATGAGGGTTGCTGAATTTATGAGTACATCATATAACAGTTAACGCATGTACGCCATGAATAGTGTTGAATCATAACATGAACTATCAAACAATTTATTGATTCATCAAATAGAAGAAAAAATCCCTTTTGTTTGATGATTTATCGTGGATTTGGTATCAGATACAACAAGTTTCTTCCTCCTCGTAAAACTTGTAATAACAAAATTTATTGCTTTGTTCATCAGATGTATTGTATTATTATGATGCAGATTCAACAGCACGGTTTTCACGTGTACAACGCCACGAAATAAACAACATGAAACACTCCGAACATCACTCACTATTCAGTTTACACACGGAGTATTTTAGTGTTTATAACTCGTGTCAACACTGATAAGCCCGAACAGGTTGACTCCTCGCTCAAATATTTACATATATAAAACCTGCGTACCTTTATAACTACCTGATTGCCTGACTCAGCCGAAATATTTCTCAATCGCTGGCATCCGTTCTGGTTGCCATAGTAACAACTTGGAAACAATCCAGTATGAATAATGGGTAAAACATACATCTTTATGAGATAAAAAACGATGTAGTCAAGGTTAGATTAGATTGAGAGATACGAAATTACATATCATGACATAATTTGCACATTGTGATATTAACTACTGCACCGTCAATATAAGAGATAATATTATTACAATATTTGCACGTAACACGTTTCATTACGTATTACAGCAAGGACGAAACCTCGTATCGTTGCATTTCTATTGTATTTCTTTTGCAGATAAAGTCACTAGTGTCAAAAACATATAGAATATTGTTAAGACTTCCAGTAGTCTTGATTGATGAAAAAAAATGTATATATACCTAAATATATGCATATGATATATTATTATATCTTCTTAATAAAAAAATGTCAATTTCCAATGATTTTTTTTTAACGAAAAATAGCTCAGACGGTCCAGCGTTATATTAAACTTATCATATGTCATTTTACCATGATATGACTTAGTTAAAGGATCAATGTGGTCCTGGACAGAAATTGCATATCGAAATATCCAAAATTCTTTGACTGGTATGTTATCCATGTTTCGTGCTGATTTGTAACGACTATGCAGTTGTGTTCTATGGAGCAGTTAGGTTTCACGGCAATTTCTTTCTTCAATTGATTAATTAGGGACAATATTCTTAATTTTGATAACTCTGTAAAAATTAAGTCACAACAAATTAAAACATAAATTCTATACCCAATAACTCCTTTGTCGATTCTTTCGAAAATAGTCAAAATAGAAATAGGCTTGTTAACACGAATTGTGCAGTACAAAGCGCCTTTACGACGACATTTGACTTTACCATAACGAGTTGTCGAGAAATCAAAGTACCATTTACTCACCTGATCGATCGATTTTCAAATCTTGATTTCCGGTGACAGTCACTCTGTAAAACTCTAGTACATGTACTTTTAGTGTATATAAGCAACGTTTAGTGAAAAGTTATAGCCTTTGTGTTTTTTTTTTTTTTTTTTTTTTTTTTTTTTTTTTGAAAATGTTGAAATGCAAAACATCTAGGTAGAGACCAAATATCCAGTATATATTTCTAATTTTCAGTTTTGTTTTACAGCTACACTTGCGAGACATGCTTGAGAATTGATCGCGATCATTCAAATGATTGCTTTGCAAAACATTTCTGTAAATAAATGTGTACCTTTTTCGTACATTTCAGGCTGGTTTGAAGCTACCCAAGCGTTTGAGACACTCGGATTCATCGCGGCCATCGTAGCGCTTGTTCTGATTGTTCTGTACGTCTTTGTGCCCCAGACTTCCGGCAAGAAGATTGTGTTCATCCTTGCTATGCTGGCATGCTTTGCCGCAGGTAAAATTTTAAACTTAATTTTACGGGTTTATTACGCATAGTGAAACAAATAAATGCCCTTTACTATTTTGTTTTGAATTAACTAGAAAGAAAAAGAAAAAAACCGAAACTAAAATATAAAGAGCGAAAACTCCAAATGGGGTCTATACTTGTATGAAGCCAGTCCTAAGGTATGAAAATCTACCAGTAAAATGTAGACAAAAATTGCTTATTGTAATAGCATTTGTAGAAAATGAACAACCTTTCAAATATAACGTTTTTGGAAATACATGTGTTCTGATTTTGTTGCATGTTTGTTTTAATAAGATGGACAGTTGTAATAAAAGTTTTAATGTTGCAGGATGTTGATGCTGGGTATTTTTTCGGCTCACGTGGTTTTTGCTGGGCCGGTTGACGCTGTCTCGTTCGATCCTGACCTTGCAAAATTCACTTGAGCATAAAACTTGTCCATATTTCATCATAAATATTCCCTTGTTCCCTAATTTCAATATTCTATAATTTATCATTCATTCGACCATTTGTTTCTGAAATTGTGAGTTTTGTTGCTAATTCGACAGAAACACTCGCGTTTGATCACATTCCATGAACTAATAACTGACAATTAGTAAAATGCCAAACTTGATGGAAATATAACTTGGGTTAATTATCTGTTGTTAAAATTAGAAAAAATGGAGTGTATACTAATTTCATAATTATGTGCAATCATTCTGCTTCCTGCATAATAAATGTGGTTGAGCTGTGAAATAACGATTCTCATTTTAATCAGAATTTTATCCTCTTGAAATAACTTAAATTTGTACCAAATTGAGTCGATAATGTGTTTATGCAAGAATATGCAAGAATATGCAAGATCTGGGTATGTAGGTCAAAGGTCAAAGTCACACTATGGCTTGAAAAGAATGTTCATAAACCGGCATTGATGGTCATGTGCGGTCAACAAATCTGCCATTCCTCGATAGAGGCATAAGCGTGCTGGAAATGATAACAATTGTATCCCACAAGATTCAGGTTTCACGATCATAGGTCACACGGGCATATCCAGTCTTGATAAAAGTAATTTTATGGTCGTGTCCGGTCAACAAATGTGTCATTCCTGGACTGGATTGATTTTAAAATAACTTGGCATAAATGTGTCGCGCTCATGTTATGGTTTCCCAGGTATGGTCAAGGTCATTGATTATGAATAGATGTTCATGTCCTGTCCATGACTTTGTCATTTATGGCTGGATTTTGAAATTCTTAGCAGATTGAGCTAATGTGTCACCAGCAAAGGTCAAGTTCACTTAATTTGAAAGAAAAAACATCTTTCCAAAGGATGGCTTCGTCGGCATTTTTTCTGTTCACAATGAATGGCCTTGTGAATAATATACTTGGGTGCATTTTGCTATTTCCCTATTGTGTTATCATGATTAATGTATGCTTTAGCGATTAAAATTCATTAATTTTGAATGAAAAATGTTAACGTGGATGCAAACTTTTTATAGGATCAATGCGGCCAAAACACGAGATATATGGCATCAGGAATAGCGAGCATAATTTTTATGTCTCAATTCGGAAGAGAATAATTACTTTTAATAGTTTATTTCTTCATAAATTTAAATTGGATAAAGCTCATGCTGGGCAGAATACTATTTCCTGCTCATATGTCGTATTTTTACGTAAGGTATAACTAAATGACGTCAAAGACGTCAAAGTTCGTGTGCTTTCGTGGTAGCTTACTCAACTGTGGCGGCACATTCCAGAAAAAAAAGAAAGATATACATGTTCTTACATCTCACAAAAGAATCTTTAGTCTATGAATAGGAAACATCCTCCGCTTATTTAAATAATACGTTATATATGTGTTATGGCGACATTGTAATATAGTGGCGTTCAACCTGTTTCTTTTTTTTATTACAGCCGGCTGTATCATACTTGGTATCATTATCTATGGCTCGAAGATGGATAACTTGTCTTGGTCGTTCGCCCTGTGCTGTATAGCAGGCATCATATTTGGAATATCCGGGATTCTTCTTGTTGTCGACATGCTCAAACGTTAGTCACGTGATAGTTAAGTCACGAGATACCGTTACCTTGTGGAACACTATATTTAGGTATATTGTTATGCACGCTAATCGAGTGCCTGTAAAAAAGAAAACTGTTTGAGAAGTGTAACAACAAACGGGAAAAATCAGTTTGAACTTGTAATGTTTATTTTTACTCTATCTTAAGTTGAAAAAAAGCAATTTGAATGTTGTCTTAACCTGTTTAGCAATTGACTACATCTTAGACTTTTATAAATATATATTAACTGTTTTATTACATAGAAGCTTATTTTTATACACTCGTATCATATTTGCTTAACTTCATTTTATTGTTAAGTGTTTTTACGTATTAGAACTATATTTAATGTACCCTTTTAGATCTTTAATGTTTTGTCTACAAAGTTGCTGTCCTGACTAGTGCGGAGTGTTTGATTGGACCAATACCGGTTGAATTTGTCTTCTTCTAAATTTCAAAGAAACGTACCGGAAGTGACGCATCGGAAGCTAACTGTAAAATATTGTAATACAACTCGTGATAGTTATTTATATAACTTGTTTTCAGCATGTTTGAATTTCAAATTTTCAGCAAGACATATAATATCAAACATTAGAATCCACAATTTACAAATTTATGTGGAATCGGAGCATGAATAGAAATGCGATACAAGAACTTAAGACATCCGAAGCGGGTCAACATTTTGGATTCTCGGTCCTCGCGCCGAGTTGAGACTTATTTTACTGTATTTTACCTTAAGACTAGTCATGCCTGATGACGTCGGTTCGAGTAAGTCCAGTTATCAGAAATTCCTGTCAGAAATAAGATTTAAGATCACAAATTAGAAAATAATGGGTAAGATAATGAATGGTTGTTTTGGCTTAGTGTGATGACCGAGTGTTAAATGTGGATGTGTGGCGGAAAAAATTGCAGTGGGGAGCGGGGGCAAAAGTTACTATGTAACGTATGACACATTTTGGTAATTGAATTACGTGACATCATTGAATCACGTGACCACTCCGTATTTGTTTCAGGAAAGATAACTATGTATAAAACATTAAGATGCATTTAATATTATAATACTTGTATACATGAGATGATAACCCTGTAACTTACTTTTGTTTCATTTTTCTAATAATTGTGTTGTGAAAGAGGCTTTGAAGTATTCCTTCAAGTTTTTATTTTAAAATCAGATTATGTTTAATTGGAAACTTTTATACCAGAGTGTTGTTAACTGTTGCAAACTTTCTTGTGTTATTTTTGAACTTAATTTCTGTTATCTGCCAAAGTGTCTTGCCTAACAATTTACACTATTTTTTGAATAACTCAATTATCTAATGAAACTTGCAAAATGCAAAATACTGTCCGTATTATTTGCCTTGTTAGTGTTAGTGCCTTTCAATAGCTCAGAGTCTTTTTGTACATGATAACTCTCAAGGTACTTTGTATGGTAACTCGAACGGGATGGAAAACAACATGAATTTATTCCATTTTTAACTTAAATTTCTATTTGTAGTAGACCTTTGTCACGTCTTACCGAGTGCATTAAATTGCTACAAACGGAGTCTGTTTCAAGCGTTAAGGTCAGGCACGCTTCTAGAGTCCAGGTCATGCACGCTTCTAGAGTCCAGGTCAGGCAAATCCAGATACGTAAGCATACCATGACTGAAGTTTATTTCAAGAGTTTAGGCCGACAAGTTTACTAAAATTGACTGAAGTCTGTTTAAAGGTTTTAGGCCACACATGTTTGCAGATCTTGACCCAAGGTTCTGTTAAGCGTTTAGACACACTGATTTTGACTGACAGCTCTAAAAGACACGTTTGTTAAAACGGACCAAAGGTTGATTCCAGCGTTTAGTTCAGACACGTCAGTAGCTGAGACTGAAGTATATAAGGATAGGCACGTTTGCTAACATAGACCGAAGTCTGGTTCCAGCGTTTAGCCTAGATAGGCTTACTAACTTTTACTGAAAGCTATGCTAGAAACGTTTGCTAACATTGACCGAAGTTTTTTTTCAAGAGTTTAGTGTAGACACGTTTGCTAATTTTGACCAAAGTCTGTCTCCAGCGTTTAGACTAGAGTTGAAAGTTAAAGACGCTAGTCTGTTTCAAAGTACTTATATAGTCAGTTTCAAGCCTTGCTTTTTGTATAATTCTTGTTTGTAGTAAAGCTTGGACCATCTCTACCTCCATAATTAAATTGCTGTTACAACTGGTTATGAAAGTCAAAAATGAAATTCCAGTCATCATATCATTAATATTCAAGTAAGAAAACAAAGATAATTTTTTTCACATATTAAGAACTTCAAAAAAGATCTTTAAGGAAAATTTTATCAGGTGCCTTTATATTTCAAGCATTTGTGCAAATACAACATACAAATTTAACTGGCCTATGATTTGCCAAGGTGAAAAAATACGCTAAGGTGCAATTATTAATGAAATCAAATATTATTTTTTACTTCTGCTTGTACTCTTTTATTTGTGGTTGATTGTGTATAAGTTTTTCTTTTCAAATAAAATGTTATATACAAATGTTGTTGGTATGTTTTGATCCAGCAAGGGAGACAACTATGATTGATCATTCTAGTTTTAAAAGTACGAGTTGTCTATGCATACGATAAAGTGTGCCTTCGGCTACCTCCGCACGTGTATCGTGTAAACAGTCGGGAGTGGGGGGGGGGGGGGGCTTTGACTTCCGGATTATCGGGTTACAGGCCCTGTTCTGCTGGAAAGTCGGACGGTAAATTCCGAGTAAATGGCCGAGTTTAACATATCCACTAGTATATTTGCGCCAAAGCAAAACCACCACAAACATATCTTAAATGTGCTGGTCTCGGAAAATATGTTCAAATAATTTTTAAAAAGGTTTCATTGGAGAAAAAAACCTCTAGTTTCCATATTGTTCCCCAAAACGACTATTTGAATAATCGAAAACACCAGTTTCTACTCTTATCTTTTCGGGGCAAAAACTATCAATATACATGTTAAATATGAAACTAAATTCCTAAATGTCCCACAAATCAGCACCATATTACTACGATAGTATATGACGGACATAAATATTCCTTAAATGTATCATTAGGCCACCTTTAAAAATGGTTTGTTTGCCACCGGTACATTTTGATTTTACTAGGGATTTTTTTCTCCTAATACATTTTTCAGGCAAAAAAAATCATAATACACACAGGCAAAAATAATTTTAAAAAGTTTTTCATCCCTTGTGATAAAAAACGATCAGAGCCTGCTATGCAAAAACTATCATCGATGTGTCGTTCAGCATTAAAATGGCGATATCCAAAATTACTACAAACACTAAAGTTTAGTTAACATTTTCTTGGGTCTTAGTAATTGATTTTTTTAGCTCACCAGGGTGAGCTATTAGTATCAATGGGGGATGCTCCGGCGTCTGTCGTCATGCGTCAACAATCGTCTTCTCTGAAACTGCCGGGCAAATTTACTTCAAATTTGGTCTGTTGCATCCTTGTGATAATCACACATGAATTTGCTCATGTCATTTCAATTGGCCCCTTTTAGGGGTCAACAGAGCTAAAAATAGAAACACCTTTAAACATCTACTATACATTTAGACGTCTCTTTAATCTTCGAAGCTAAAAATAAAAATACCTTTAATCGTCTATTTCTACAGAACTAATCAATGGATGATCACCAAACTTTGTCTGTAGCATTCTTAGGTAGTCTCTTAACAAGTTTGCTCATATTAATTTGATTGGCTCCTTGTAGGAGTCTCTAGGGCTAAAAATAGAAAAACCTTTAAACATCTTCTTCTACAGAACTAATTGATGGATGATCACCAAACATTTTCAGTAGCATTCTTGGGAAGTCTTTTATCAAGTTTGCTCATATCAATTTGATTGGCCCCTTTTAGGGGCCGCTAAATCTAAAAGTAGAAATACCTTTAAACGTCTATTTTTACAGAACTTATGAATGGATCATATTATTTTGATATGTCCCCTTTTATGGGTCTCAAGAAGAAAAAAAACATTTAGACATATTCTTCTACAGAACTGATCAATGGATGATCACCAAACATTGTCTGTAGCATTCTTAGGTAGTGTTTTATCAACTTTGCTCATATTAATTTGATTGGCTCCTTGTAGGAGTCTCTAGGGCTAAAAATAGAAAAACCTTTAAACATCTTCTTCTACAGAACTAATTGATGGATGATCACCAAACTTTTTCTAAAGCATTCTTGGGTAGTCTTTTATCAAGTTTGCTCATATCAATTTGATTGGCCCCTTTTAGGGGCCGCTAAATCTAAAAGTAGAAATACCTTTAAACGTCTATTTTTACAGAACTTATGAATGGATCATATTAATTTGATATGGCCCCTTTTATGGGTCTCTAGAAGAAAAAAACATTTAGACATCTTCTTCTACAGAACTTATCAATGGATGATCACCAAACATTGTCTGTAGCATTCTTGGGTAGTGTTTTATCAACTTTGCTCATATTAATTTGATTGGACCCTTTTAGGGGCCGCTAAATCTAAAAATAGAAATACCTTTAAATGTCGATTTCTACAGAACTAATTGATGGATGATCACCAAACTTTGTCTGTAGCATTCTTTGGTAGTCTCTTAACAAGTTTGCTCATATTAATTTGATTGGCTCCTTGTAGGAGTATCTAGGGCTAAAAATAGAAAAACCTTTAAACATCTTCTTCTACAGAACTAATTGATGGATGATCACCAAACTTTTTCTGTAGCATTCTTGGGTAGTCTTTTATCAAGTTTGCTCATATGAATTTGATTGGCCCCTTTTAGGGGCCGCTAAATCTAAAAATAGAAATACCTTTAAACGTCTATTTTTACAGAACTTATGAATGGATAATCACCAAACTTTGTCTGTAGCATTCTTGGATAGTCTTTTATCAAGTTTCTCATATTAATTTAACATGGCCCCTTTTAGGGGTCTCTAGAGCTAAAAATAGATAAAAACATTTAGACATTTTCTACAGAACTAATTAATGGATGATCACCAAACATTGTCTGTAGCATTCTTGGGTAGTGTTTAATCAACTTTGCTCATATTAATTTGATTGGCCCCTTTTAGGGGCCGCTAAATCTAAAAATAGAAAAACCTTTAAATGTCTATTTCTACAGAACTAATTGATGGATGATCACCAAACTTTGTCTGTAGCATTCTTGGGTAGTCTTTTATCAAGTTTGCTCATACTAATTTGATTGGCCCCTTTAAGGGGCCGCTAAAGCTAAAAATAGAAATACCTTTAATTGTCTATTTCTACAGAACTAATGATGGATGATCACCAAACTTTGTCTGTAGCATTCTTCTTTTATCAAGTTTGCTCATATTAATTTGATTGCCGACATTAAAGCTTAAATGCCCCAGGTCATGGCATTTCTTCAAATTATTGTTTAAACATATTCTATGCTCAAATTTAATATTAGAAAATATTGAAAATAGATAATTTCCAAAACTAAAAATCAGTTGTTTCTGGTGAGTCACTCAGGGCAATTATGGCCCTCTTGTTTAGTTTTTCTTTATCTGGAGAAATATTCGTATCATTTTATAATTTTAAGTGCAAAGAATGTGTTTAAACATTCAGTAGTCTGTATTCAGCTCATGCTACCTCCTAAGTGAAATATTTGGATTCGGAAACTGAGACTTGAGCGAACCTTATGATACACTTGTACGTTGTGTTATTTTGGAGATTTAAAGTGACGAACTCTGACATACAACCAATACCCTTAAACATAGTTTAGCACGACATGATATTTCAAAACTCACTTAATTCAATTCTTTTAATCTACTGTTCACCAAATTCGTTTCTACTTATTCGTCTGTACTTTTATGATTTCTTCTCAACAGTTTGATAATTACTCTTCCTTCATCATGCAGAACTGCTCTTAGTGACATTTGGTCATATGTAAGTATCCTAACTGTAAAAACTGTGTAGAAGCAATGACAAGTCATCTGCCCGAAAGATAAGTTAATAACCCAGCGTTTGTAAAGGCCTCAGCAGACGGTAGGATTTTGCAGTACAACACCAATTAAAACTAAGCAAATATTAATGTGTGAAGGCTACTATTTCTTGAATTCATACAAATTCATACAATTTAATACTATATTTACATTCTTGAATTCATACAACTTAAGACAAGATTTACAGGATGCTATGACATGTTCTATCTCTTAATACTGTTTGTATAGACCTCCCACGATGACAGATGACATATTTCCCAATTATCCCCTGATAATATGTTTAAATTCCAGAACAATTAGGGCTGTAAACATAGTAGTAATAATGTTTAAAAACTCTTCAGGTGACCCAAAGTTGTGGTATGTTTGAATCCTAAATTATTCCGAAAATGATTATGTCACGGTATTAAACTGTTCTCTAATCAGGGGAGGTAGTTTGTAGGCGGCCGGAACGCTCAGTCAGTAGAGCTGCAGTACGGTATTCCGAGGGTCCCAGGTTTGAGTCTCGGCCAGGCTTATTTTACTCCTGTTTTTAAGCAAATAATAGAAAGACAATGCGTTTCTTTGTTGTGTCAGAAGAAATTTTATTTCATCGAGTGAGCTTAAAAAATAGTTCTGTACAAAACAAACAAAAATTATCTTCTAATAATAATGATGATGATGATGATGATGATGATGATGATGATGATGATGATGATGATGATGATGATGATGATGATGACAATGATAATAGATAAATATATTAATTAATTAATTTTAAAAAAAATGAACAAATGTTTGCACATTTGCGTATACCTTCAAACTGTATAACAAATCTCAAGAATATTTCCAGTTCTGTCATGTCAAAAAAAACCTCAGTGAAGTCCCTTTAAAATTACGACACACGAATTACACAATATACATGAACACAGCAACTTTTTGCACAACTGCTTGAAACACATTGTTATCGCCTTACTACTTTATTCTTACACCACAGTCTCGTTTGAACTGAAAAAATAAATACAAATTTTGGAATAGAAAACAAGCGTTTACTTCAAAATGGCATTCGCTGCAGCATCTACCCTTATAAAAATTGCGCTAGTGTTGGCGATGATAGGATTTTTGCTGGCTGTAATTGGGTTTGCCACGCCCTATTGGATGTCTTATTCTGGGTACGATGTTCACCGGCGTCATGTGTCGGTGAATAGTGGCTTATGGAGGTCTTGTCACGAGGGTTACAGCTATTACTCTCGGAGGTCAACGTATATTGAACAGTGTTATAAAGCCGTAGGACCGGGTATGTGACTGATTATTATTCTTTATCCTTGTATTTTTTAAAATTTGAAAATGTTGAGTTTTTTCCTATATGAATCAATGAAAAAACTGTACTCGATACAGATTTCAAACGCTCATTGAAAGTGTACTGAAAGAGTATAATGGGTAAGTAAGAACAAAGGAAAAGTTCAGAACCATGCGATAACTACTTAATATTACAGCTCAACAGTATTCAAACTGTTGTGTTCGAGGTCTTATTCGAAGACTGACGGAAGGGCAGAAAAGTTGAGATTGCAATAATAAGTCATTATCGCATTGTGGCGCCGTTATATGTCGCAACGCCGCTTAATGTCGCATTTGCCGCTGAATGTCGTACCATTGCCGCTAAATGTCGCAACCGCCGCTAAATGTCGCAAAATTGACTACCGTTGAATGTCGCAACTGTATCGTTAAATGTCGCACAATTTTCCTTTACCGTTAAATGTCGCAACTGTAACGTTAAATGTCGCAAGATGTATATTCATGATAAAATTAAGCTTGCTAGTGGTATTATATTGCAATAATCATAGAGTAAATGGTTGTATATATTTAGTAACTTTGGGACCGAAAGGAATGTCCGAATCTGCTGACTAAAGACGAAATAAATGTATGCTTTTTAAATGTTCTTTTTGGGTGAAATTAAACTGTCAAAACGATTGATTTAGTTATAGTATGCAAGTACGCTACATGTAATGTGCTTATGATAATCATCTCTGTTAAGTATATTGCTTTGCTTACTTGTGTCCATCTACTTGCCCCTCACCGTTGTTGGTTCGAATCCCGCAAAATACTTAGATACTTAATTACGCACATTCAATATGTTTCATGAGCACAAGACCCAAAAACAACAATTAATAATTATAATTCATAATAATTCATAATATATTAATAATCGTACATTAATTAAGTCTAAATGCAAAAGTAAATGTAAATTTGTAGGTTTGTTTTTTTAAAAATCTATTTCGGTGTCGCCAGGGTCTTTCAAATAGGCATTTGATGCACCAAGCAGGCTCAAGGGTGGGGATTTAGACAAAAATGGTTGTCCTTAGGGTGGGGATTTAGACTTCAAACATTTTAAGATGTCAAATTCCCCTGGGTCAGCCCGCCGCCCCCCGGGCGGGCAAAATAATGACAGGTGCATTAACGGTAGACGGTGCATTAACGGTAGACGATTTTTGCGACATTTAGCGGAGGTTGCGACATGTAGCGGCAATGGTGGTACATTTAGCGTCAAGGGCGACATTTAGCGGCGTTGCGACATATAACGGCGCCACACGCATGGTTTTGAACTTACTAACCCATTATACACAATACACTTCAATGAGCATTTGAAAACTGTATTGATATTACCTACAGTTCGCCAATTATTAAAGTTTGTCTGACAATGAAATCGCTCTATTTTGTTTAAATTTTGCCGACAGGGCTGTAACTCAACTGTATGTATTAAATTTATACGTTAAATTAGCCGATTTAATGGACTCCGCCTTTTTACATAATGCACATGCGTGTTCATTATTTTGTAACGCTTTTCGTATTTTTAAGCTTTAAACACGTGCTTAAAATAGCTATTTTATGGCTATGATGGAAAAGGTGTTTTGTTTAACACTTTGGGATTTTAACGTTCTTTTATGGAGAAATGACAGGAAATTTGGCCAGAAGGATTAAAAACATAACCTGTCATCTTTTAATATACATACACAATGAATCCACAGAAACATGTATAAATCAAGAACTTAAAAAAAAATTATACAAAAACTGATTGATATCACCCGATTTTTTGATATGCCCATCACAAATCTTTCACAATAAATGGCAGTGTTTCTGACATTAACATTGTCAAAGTACATGTATTATTATAATCACCTGCAGCAAAAAAGAGAGTTACATTATCAATATTGCACATGCAGCCATATCATATTTGAATAAATATTATGTTAAAAATAAAATTTAAAATCAACTCAGAAAAAATAGTCGTTGTTCCTATTTTATTTAACAGTTGATACACTTTCCATAGCGACATAGCAATTATATAACTGCTTTACAAATACCTACATGCATGTACAATTGAGGTTGCAACACAATTTTTATTTTATCTTAACTTTATTCAACTTTTTCCATAAAAGTATACAGTAATTTCCTTGCTTTTATGATAAAACTTCTGGCATTAAAATGGTCAAATGTTATGCGCAACTTAAATATTATGTGTAGTTATGTGGCAGAGTGGTGTCATTTTTAGATCACTACAACATACCCTCTTGCATACTTCCCCAAAGTTTGTGTGCCAATGAAATCGCTCTATTTTGTTTAAATGCCGAAATATTTACCATACAGTGCTGTAACTCAACTGTATGTATTAAATGTATGCGTTAAATGAGCTAATTTAATGGACTCCGCCAATTACATAATGCACTGAATTTGAATGGGCGGGGCTAACTGTAAGTCGGTTATAGGTTATATACAGATTTTTAAGAAACTAATTTTGTTCTTCTTAAAACTCTGTATTTAGCCTATAACCTATACATAGCAGTACAGTTTTTTCATTGATTCATATAGAAAAAAAAATCGACTGCTATATAGCGGTTGAGTTTTTTTTCGCACCTCGTATATATCAGTGTAGTTTTTTTCACAGAGGCTCCAATGGGAATTTTAAACAGAACACAGATCTACTATGTATGAAGTTAAAACATGTTTATTTTATGTTTAGAAAGAGACTATTTAGCATTTATCAATATTTTCTTATGTTAAATTTGAGCATAGCATATCTTTAAATTTGGTTGGATATCACTTGTTTCAACAATTTGATATTGTTTATTAATTGTTAATTGTAAAGATATATAACAAGACAATAATGGCCCGATGTTCTTTCGGTAGTCAGATAACTTAATTAATGGTCTTACTTTTCAATACAATCGCCCTCTATATCAATGCACTATGCCCACCTGTGCTCCAACTTGTTTAACCCTTCAAGCCTGGTCCGTTTCTGGCCGTCAGTCAACTGTCTGGGGGACCCATCTAGCGAAAACCTTTGACATGCCATAGACATCAGTCAGAATTGCCTGACCTGAACCAAAGCTTATATCAAGGCGCTAGTCACATTATCAAATATTTTACATAATCGGTCTATAAATGTATATTAAGATATCTTATTATAGTATATAGCCCATAAAGAACATAAAAAAAGTTTGTTTCAAGCACATGTAACACAACGTTAACCCCAGAAAAAATGAGCCAATCAATGTGCATGCTCTGGAGTGCGGGTATCTAATACCTGCACTACAGTTAACGCACTGTGCATGTATATGTATACGATTTAATTCTGAGACAGGTACAATTATTTTTTAACAATCCCAGTGTTAGCAAACATTCGTACAGAAAATGGAACCAGTTGTACCCAGAAAGGCTTGTCGAGAAAAAAAAACACTGTAAACACGTGATCCTTTGGAATCTGGTTAAAAAGGCTAGTACTTGTAACTATTACTAACGTACTTAAGCTGCGTATAGCCATGTGCTTCTATTTTCTTTTTAGGCGGAAATTCTAGCCTTCACATTAGTCAGGAGACATGGGGATTGATCGTTATCATTCCAATGTATTAATATGTAACAAAAGCCAAGAGGCACAAATTGTTCACGTTACTTTATATAAAATACTGATTCTTTAAAGGCGACATTGTAAATAAATATACATGTAAAAACATTTTCCATACTTTACAGGCTGGTTTGATGCTACTAAAACGTTTGTGATATTCGGATTAATTGCGGCCTTAGCAGCGCTTGTTTTGTTTATTTTGTACGTCTTTGTGCCCAAGACTTCCGACAACAAGACTGTGTTCATCCTTGCTATGGTGGCATGCTTTGCTGCAGGTAGCGTTTTAATCTTACGCTTTCATTCGTATACCGTCGGATACCCACGGTTGATGAACATGTTATGCGATAAGGCCGTGGGTATCCGACGATGATATACAACACTTTACTGCAGTATACTTTTGTTTTGAAATTAATGAGTACGAAAAGAAATAAATTGAATTATAAAATGTTAACTTGAAATGTGGTGTAGACTTGTATGAAGTCAGAAGCAAAGTATATAGATACGTCTGTGAGTAATCTCTGTAAACAAAAAAGCCCGATCATAACTTGAAGAAAATGATCTGGCTATCAAATATTGAAGTTGTTTGAAATCCATGTATTGTAATTCTGACTTTGTTGAATTAAATTAGAAAAACAGATAAATTTAGCCGTGTTTATGTATTGCGTGTTATCGGCTTATGTAGATTTTGCTGGGTTGGTTCACGCCATTAGCGATCTTGCTGGGTCGGTTCACGCCTCTAGCTATACTTGGGTTGCTGGGTCGGTTCACGACTCTAACGATTCTGGCGTTGTTGGGCCGGTTCACGCCTCTAGCGATCCTGGCGTTGCTAGGTCGGTTCTCGCCTCTAGCGATACTTGCCTTGATGGGTCGGTTCTCGCCTCTAGCTATCCTGCGTGGTCGATTCACGCCTCCGGCAATCCTTGTATATTATATGACATTATATATATAACTATGTAAATATTACACTATATAACTGTATTATGTGAAGCTGCATTTAAATACATTTGTATATTACATGACACTATATATAACAATATTATTATAACATTATATTTAACTATATTAACATTACACTATATAACAACGTTATATGAAAACTGTATTCATTACCTCACTTTTTACCTAGTTTAAATATTATATATAGATCTATATGTACGTCATAACTAATTCGAGTATATTTTATTTTAATCCTCTATCAGTCAGTCATCTGATCACATTCCATAATCAATGACAATTAGTAAATTGTCATACATCTTAAAAATATAAATTGGGGCAAATTTGTCCTATGTTGCTTAGAAATTTTACAATTGGGATTGTGAATTTCACGAAATATTTAGCACTTTATTTAGCATTTATTTGTCAATAAGCAATTGACATGTCGAATTCAGCAGTGAATAAACAAAATGGCTATCAGGCGTTTAAGTCATATGTGTTACGGCGACATTGTAATATAGCGGTGTTCAACCTGTTTCTTTTTTTTTTATTACAGCCGGCTGTATCATTCTTGGTATCATTATCTATGGCTCGAAGATGGATAACTTGTCTTGGTCGTTCGCCCTGTGCTGTATAGCAGGCATCATATTTGGAATATCCGGGATTCTTCTTGTTGTCGACATGCTCAAACCGGTTGGACACAAATAGAGGGCCACCCTTGCAAAAAACAGGCGGTCCCGAAAATGCCTGATTTTTTGTTTCTTTTCTGTGTCAAGTGTTTGAGGATCTATCAGTCGCTTTGTTATCAACATTAAATGCATGTTTCTTCTATAACTAACTAATTAAATTGTCATTTTAAAAATATGCTTGTTTATCACTAAAACTTATTACTATGTTAACCATGACAAGAACAATTCATATAATTTATTTATCAGAAAAGTGTCTTTTTTTATATGACAATTTCGTCAAGTGATGCATGCCTTTAGATGAGCCAAATAAAAATATTCAAGAATCAAATAATTATCTGCATGTTTTTTGCTATAAATGATTGATTTTGCAGTATTTATCACCATATTCCACTGCATGACTAACGCAGTTAGAGATATTTTTGCATATTTTGTCCTCTTTTCTGGTGATTTACGTGGATTGTAAATGTCATTAGCAATGTATGAGTTTCGTTCAGTTCATAATATTTTACTTTTTAATACATATGTACATTTTCAATTTTTTTAATGAAATTAGCATGAATCTGGAGGCTTGCTGCTTCGAAGATTAACCTATAATTGAGCAATGGAAGACACTAATGTAGAGGTCGAGGAGCAATTATGAAAGGGACTCCACTGAGGTTTTTTGACATGATAGGACTGAAAATATTTTTTCCAGATAAACGTACCATTTGCTGTAGGTTTAGATCACTAATCTTTGTGCAAAATTTCAGATCATTCGCGCACTTCGTTTTTCCAGAATAATTATTCAAATTGTAAAAAAATGACTCGAAATGAAAAGCGTTTACACACTTTTCACTCAAATCGGGCTAAGAAAAGCATAAAAATAAGATTTCCAATTTATTTCAAAGTTTATTTCTAAACTATCTTTGCATATATTTCTGTTTAAAGTTCATTTATGTTTTTAGGCTTTTAAACCTCAGTGGAATATTTTTTTTTTACTTTTGCTTTTACTCTTTTATTAGTGGGCGACCGTATATATATAGTTTTTCTTTTCAAATAAAACACTATTTTATTTGCATGCGAGTTGCTGGTACGTTAGTCGGGCAAGGGAGACAACGTTTACTGCCCATTCTATTCTTTAAAATAAGAGTTGTCTTCACATACGATTACATTTTATGCAATTCTGCAATTTTAATTCTGCAAGTTATATATAACCCCGCCGGCGACACGAAGGTACCCGAATTATATCGGATACTTCTGGAATATCAAATCATCGGGTGCAGTAAAAAATGCAAGTCCCGCAAATTGTGCATAGCCCACGTAACTGTTATTGTACCGAAGCAAAACAACTGCATCGGTCCAGTAGTGTAGGAGCACATTTTTGTCTTACGAGGGGTCACCGATGTGCTCGTAAACATTTATATTTGCGACAAATTGGAAATGAGACAGATGTGTTCGACACACAATAGAAAGGACACCCGAAGTACATTTGTCTCACATTCTTCCATAAAATTCTTAAAAGGTATACCGTATACCGGCAATCAGCCATTTTTCTGTGTTTTCTGTATTTATGATACCGTGTCAAGGTCACTTCCGGTCAATCAAAAACTTCCTTCCTTAAATTTATTGAAACGTACGGCATTTATAATCCATTTAGGTATCTCCAGGGATGATGGTTGTCGGATGTCATTAACTGGCGTGGTCGAGGAACTTAAGATTTTTGGCCGCATGAGTTCGAACCCAGTCAGGGTTCTTGACAAAAAGTCTTTACGCGCATTGCTTTAAGAAATTGGACCCGAAAGTGTTTCCATAAGCCTAAAGCATTCTTCTCAATCGAACTGAACTTATTCACTGGTACATCACAAAGCAGTTCTATTAAATCAGATATTTTTGCGAAACCAACATTTTGGACTAACTCACGAGGCTTTATAATCGCGAATGGTTCTTAGATACAGTAGAACGCGAACTTTTATTTAAATAGCGAAAATCTCCAATTCGCAAAAATTCACTTTTGGGAATTTCTAATTAACGGTTAATAGAAAAAAATAATGTTTGTTTGTTTGTTAGTTTGATTGGGTTTTACGTCACACAGACACAGTATAGTTCACATGGCGACGTTCTGACTTTACTGGTGGAGGAAGACCTCAGGTGTCCTTCCGTGAATTATTTCAGGCACGAACGGACACCTGAGTAGAACCACCGACGTTCCGTAAGCTAGCTGGATAGTTCCCTCACATTAAAGAATCCAAAGTCCCCGTCGGGATTCGAACCCACAGCCGTGAGGGGCAAGTGGTTTGAAGTCGACGACCTTAACTACTCGGCCACGGACGTACGACAGTACGACAAGTTACATTGGATTTAACTCATTACAGGACTGGAGTACCACCTCTAATCATGATCACAAAATAATCAAATATCTTTTTTTGCCGATTATTACATTTTTCATTCATTATCATACAATAATCGGTGTGAAAAGATGAATTACACATTTTAATCAAACCAGTAAAAAATCTCCTACAGTCTTGAAAGTGTAATGTATTCTTTAAAAAAGAAAACGGTTAATGGCGCACTAGCCTAAGAATTCTATATACATCTAATTCTTTAGAAAGGTCAAATATCTGATTAGTAATATTTCAACATTGCATTTAGAGCACATTAATTGTTTAACAAATAAAGACATTAGCGCTGTGTGGTAAAGGTAGAAAATTGTAAACAAAGTAGTATTTTGACTTACATCACTATAATTATACTGATTGCAAACAAAGCAAAAGAAGCAAAATATACGAGTTCATTTAAATGGCAAACGAGTATCATTTTTTTTTTTTGAATCTGTAATAAGAATAAGAAAATAAAAAGTTTTCGAGAAATAAAATTGATAGCATTTCTGAGGCATAATGGGCCTGAAATAATTCTGCTAAATATAAAGTCTGTGTTCTTGCAACTATATCTAAAACATTAACTCCTCTGGAGTATTGAATTGTAACGTGCTTTTTTTCCAACTATGAATGATTGTAGCACGTATATATCGTAAAAAGAAAATTGAATCGATATTATGTAAAAAGGAAACTTATTTGCAGGCAGTCCGAGATACAGACAATATTATCTAAACGGATAGTTTACAATTTTTCTAGATGTATGTACTATGACCAAACTTCACGGATTGAGACTTCACTAAATAATACTGTTCGCCAGGTGTATTTGCGAACACCCAAAAGAACATTTGAGACAAACGCTCCCCTAACATTTTAGACATTAATAAATTCAAAAATTCATTGGATGTTAATTACAATAGTGCTAAGATTTGGAATAGAATACGATCTGTTTTACGTTCTCCGAATTCTATGACATCTTTTAAAAATAAGTATAAAAAACATATAATGCAGATCAAATAAATATAATCATTACTATGTCATTATGTTACAATAGTATTTATGCATGTATATTTGATATATAATATCTAAAAAGGAGCGTTTGTCAAAAATAGTTACAGGACAAAATCTTAATGGAATAGTTGCTTTGTTTTATGATGTTTTGTGGTACTATATATTGTTTAGAAGGTCACATTTAAAATTAAGACATGTTATTTGTTTTCTGCGATGGTATATCTTCGTGTGTTATCTTCTTAAAATAAAGATACTATTATTATTATTATATTACTCTGGCTGACCATAACAGCCAGGAACTGTTCCAGGTACTCCGGCTGTCCCGTCTGTCTGACAAACTTTACCAGCATGATTTCCACTGTTGTATTAAAATTATTATAATCTGAAATTATTTAGAAAATACACATAATTTTCAAAGAAACACACGTACATACGTGTAGTAAGCGCCCTGTATTATTTATATCTATTTAGGATAAATAAAGGCTGCAGCTTTTGATGTGGAAGAAGATCCTCCTGACTACAATACATTCACACCGGAAACCGGATGTAACCTACGACCTTCCACAACCTTGTAGAATAGTCTCTAAAACTTTTTTAGGAGTACAAAAAATAAACAACTATAATATGTATAACGTAGATTCCCTTTATTTACCCCACATCTTTCACATAATATGGATATACATGTACTTTTATTACAATTCAGTAAATTGCAAGCATTATAGAAAATCCCACATATGGTATAAGAAATGCTATCATTATGTACATAGCATTTTTCATTATCAGTTTTAAATTGTTCGGCAAAAGGTAAGAACTAAACTCTGTGGTTAGATTAAACAGCACGTAAGAGATGGGTAAATAGATAACAGTAGCTAAAGCGAAATTGAGAAAATGGTAGTTTGGAATGTATCCTATTAAATGCTTCGCGTTTGACTGTAGATAAATATGAAGTTGTGATAAATATGTTTCTAACGTAATTTTGCCGAGCCATGCAAATAATTCAATGTAGTGAGTGCGCAAGACCGGAAATGCGTTTCTGATAATAATAAAGCTCAATATTGGGATAGGTGCAGTATACGGATGGAGCACGTTGTATTCATACTTGTCCTTTGTCATCACGTACTTATACCACAATACCAGTGCTAAACAGCATGTCGTCACCATTACACACTTTATACAAAATTTCCTCTTCCATCCTTCTCCACTTTCCAGATTTTTGATAAAGTTCTCAAAATGTGGGTAATTATACGCACACAGCATTCCGAAAAAGCAAGCCCAGTGGTCCAAACCAGCCCTAAATGCCCACTCGTGCATTGGCTCATAAGAGGGCTCCGTATACCCTAACAAGAATTGAAAAGGCCTAAAAATATTGTTTGTTATTACTGGAATTTCAAATATTATGCTATTGAAAATGAAATAAAATACAAATTTTATTGTCATTTTGTTCGAGTCAGTATTCCACGACTTCAAAACTCCCATAAACACGTACACGGATATGAACCAATAGGAATGCATCGCACATATGTAGTACAACATATACTGATTATTAGTTACAACACATATGCACGTGACCAAGAAGTTTAGCCGGAATTGCATCTTTAGGAATCGCCACAGTGAAAAGTCCTTGCGTATCCAGAAAAATGAAAAGTTTCCTGGAAATATAAATAAAAACAAATTTTATATTATTCATTTACAGGAAATGATATGAAAAATAAGAACCGACTGAACCGGGTGATGCTCCGAATAGGTTTTGGACACAGAAAAGTATACATCTTGTAATTTCAGAGTTATGTCCCGAACAAAGCTCAAAATGCAACGACTCTCAAAATTAGGCAAGGCAGAGTTATGGTTCTTTTGCAATGCACTTCTACCCAATGAGTTCTACCTACCTACAAAGTTTCATATAGTTTCAGAGTTATGTCACGTGTAAAAATGAACAAAGGACAATAACTCCAAAATTAGGCAAGACAAAGTTATGTTTTTTTGCATTGCACTTTTACACAATGAGATCTATCTACCTACAAACTTTTAAGTTGATGTCTCAAATAGTTTTATAGTTATGTCCCGGACAAAGTTCAAGGTATTAAAATGAACAAAGGGCAATAACTCCAAAACTAGACAGGGCAAAGTAACGGTTCTTGTGCACTGCACATCTATCTAATGAGATATGTCTACCTACAAAGTTTCATTTTGATATCTCTTATAGTTTCAGAGTTATGTCCCGGACAAAGTTCAAAGTGTAAAAATGAACAAAGGGCACGAACTTCAAAATTAGGCAAGGCAGATTTATGGTTCTTATACAATGCACTTCTACTTAATGAGATCTATCTACATACAAAGTTTCATGTTGATATCTCTTGTTGTTACAAAGTTATGTCTCGGACAAAAAAACGGACGGACGGACGGAGAAAACATAACCACCTTACTGATTGAATAACGTCAAAGAGAAAGTACAGTTACCTATTATTCCTGTAGCAACCTAAGTATCAGAAATTATCTTGAATACTTAATTTGTCATTTTTCTTCCCTGCAACAAATATTGAATAGTATATTGTGGATTTCGTCGTTGGTATAAAAAGAAAAAATAATATTAAGATTACCAAAGCCTGTCATCCAAACGTAAGCAGCAATATAGACACGTATCCAGTTATACCATTCCTTGGCAGCAAATACGTGATACCAAACAAACAAGACCTGCATCCAACCCTTCCATTCTTCAGTTTGGTCCCTAAAAACATTAACGTATTTACAATTATAATTAGAAAAGAATGGACTGCGTTGCAATCGAATCCATCGCCGTCTGCGTTGTATTCAATTTTTGTCAATCTTTTTATGAAAAGGCTATAACAATTTCCAAAAGTTCCAAAATATGGTTGTTTTGTTAAAGTATCATACATACGATGTGATGCTGGAGTATTTATGGATCGTTTTGTACACATTTGTACGTGCTATTACCACAAGAGCTGTCACAGGAGACAGCGAAGCTCGACTAATAAAATACTGGACGCAGTAAGGAAGACAAAACTATGAAAGAAAATTAAATTATGTAAAATTATGTATTAAATTATAGTAAAAAATAACATTTTGTTGTTTAAGTGGGGGAATAATTCTGGAGATAGTCACGCTAAAGTTATGAACCTTGTCACATAGCATGTGTGTAATGATAAGAAATATATATTTGAAGTTTGAAGTAGATACCTTAAAAAGGAAAGAAAATCCTAAGTTCAAAGAGACATGAATCTGAAAATATTGCTCCAAGAGTTATGAACCTTGTCACATAAGTTGTATTAAATTGATGATAAGGAATAGGTATTTGAAGTTTGAGGTAGATACGTTTAAAACTAAAGAAGTTATAGTAAAAAATAACATTTTTTCAAGTAAATAAATCTTAGTTTATTGGGAGATAATTCTTGCAATATTGGTACTAGAGTTATAAACATTGGCACATAACATGTGGTTAATCTAAGGAACATATATTTGAAGTATGAAGTTGATACCTTACGAAATGAAACAGTTATTGTGAAAAATATTTAACTGCACCAAAACTTTAATCTGAAATCTGGACGCGGACGCCGACGCTGGGGCGAGTAGGACAGCGCTCCATATACTTCATATAGTCGGGCTAAAAATCAGACAAAAGTGGCGTCCCCTCGTCAAACTATATAGAAGCGTTTGCATAAATGGCAATGAATTGCACTGTGTGCGTGTAATAAGTGGGCTGCAGTCTCACTATGTGTTTCCTGTAAAACATTAAGTAAAATCCAGTCATAAACTTGCCGACAACAGCAAACGGCCATATTTTATCCACCGCTTCTGCGACGAATACTCCACCGCCGCTGTGATGGACACACCGCTTCTGCGAAAGCTATGGGCAGTGTGACGAGTATTCTATGTTTTCCTTCTAATGCCTAACTTAGATTAGACATGACAAAGTAAAGCAATACTCTTCCACAGCATTTATTGATGTTGTTCTATGGTCGTAATTTACAAAACGTTTCCAGACTTACCTGTTTAGTATTTTATCAGCAGTAGGCCGTATTGTATAGGCACAAGCCACCAAAAATAAAAGAAAGATGGCGAACAAAAACTCATCCCTGTTGTACACCCGCTCCAACTTTGGAAACACCTGAAAGTAAGAGTGTAAATGGTTAAAGGCGATGCTATCTTTGTGTAAAAGTCTTTTTAACCTGTTCCTACAAACGTTGAGCATGCGCATCATCAGACTGCAAAGGTAAAGTATTAGTATCTTATTTTCTTAAAGGAACATTATGTTTCAGAAAACAAATATATACAGGATCAATATTGGCTCTGCCCCAGGAGTCACTTACATAGAAAAACTTATTTACTTGTGTGTATTCTTATGTAATGCTACAATGCCCGGATCTTTGCTGCAATAGTTACAAAAATCATTTCATTGGTGTTAAAAATGGCTCTCACCAGGCGGTAGTAATGGGGGGGGGGGTCTTACACAACTTATTTGTACATATATGTATATAGTAAACATGTCTTAAAGCATAGTTCTTTTGCAAATATAAATGTAGATCTCACTTACTATTATATTGATATTTGAAAACAAAAAATGTTCAGGACAAGTGTAAAGAATGGGTCTATAAATTTCTTACTTAAAAATCAGTTTTGATTAGTTTGATCTTTTAATTAATGAAAACCAAATTTGCATTCGGGCGTATATTGTCCCGCCTATGCGGTGCTCTTGTTATTATATAGCAGATTAGCTCAGCATGTTGCTTGGTTAAATGACCATTAGCTTTCATATAACAACAGCTGCTGTAAAGAACCAATGTCTAATATTAAAGGTAATAAATCAAGACGATTCTTTCTTTCCCGTATAATAAAAGTAGACGTAAATAAACCATCTTTTTAAAACTTTTTGTTAACTCTTTTGCGTAACAATATTTCGCTATATATTGGTACTTTGACCATCCGGATTATCAAGGGATATATAGTTTAATCACAATACTTGGTTGCGAAATATGTTACAAGGGTATCTTTTGGCTGACTTAAACATAAAGGAAAAAGATAATAAAGAAAAAAGTGACCAGTTCCGGCCGTGTTACACCGAGTGTCAATCGGATCACTTCGACAGTTATTCATAGGTCTGACTAAATGGATCGATAAGATGCGATCGGGAAAGAGTTCGTTACTGTTAAACAAGGGGGCCAAATGGCCCTAGATCGCCCACCTGACCCATCGAACTCATCCGAGCAATTCCTTATACCAAGTTTGATGAATGTGACTTCTAGAGTGTTAACAAAGTTTTTTTTCCCATATTTTGGCAGTGTGACATAGTGTTTGACCCCAGGTGACCCATATACGAACTTGACCTAAAAATCATCAAAACAAACTTGCAGACCAATTTCAAGGATATCTGGATAACAACAGTAGCCACCAGAGAGTTAACAAGAATTTTCTATTTTTAGCTCCTGTGACCTAGGTTTTCATCAAGGAAGACGACCCATGTTCAAACTCATCCAAGCAATTAACTAAACAAGCATCCTGAAAAAATGTGATGGCATTTGAGTCTAAAATGTGACATTAAAGTGTTTAAAAGTTTTTTTCTCAATATTTGGGCGGTGTGACCTAGTTTATGACCCCAGGTGACCCATATTCGAACTTGCAATTATCAAAATAAACTTTCAGACCAATTTCCAGGATATTTAGATCAAAACAGTAGGCACTAGAGTGTTTCTCGTTTTAGCTCTTGTGACCTAGTTTTCATCCGAGAAGACCCATGTTTGAACTCATGCGTGCAATTACCTAGACAAGCACCCTGACAAAGTTTTATGATGATTGAGGCAAAAATGTGACCACTAGATTGTTAACTAACAAATGTGAACGGACGACGGACATTCAACGATCCTCAAAGCTCACCTTGCGCTAGCTCAGGTGAGCTAGAAAGTCCTGAACATCTGGAAGGGGGTAAAGTTGTAAATTGATAAAACCATGATTAACTAGAAATGTGTCCATAGGACACGGGTGCCCCCACACGCCACTGTTTTGTCAATCTTATTACTCTAGGTCAAATATTACATATGCCACAAGTTGAAAACTATAAAAATCTTTTACTAAGTAAAGGGCAAGAACTTTACAAATACTGAATAAATCCACAAGCAAACCCCAAAGTACACATGTTGACCAACATTCTTGTAAACTTTCAGACATACAAGTCTTTTTGAGCTATGCATAAACAAGTTGAAAATTGCAAATTCATACTACTGTAAGTCAAGGGCAATAACTCTAACAAAACTAAAAAAAATTCACATGCAAAGTCCCAGGTGCATAGCTTCACAGTGATGTTGATCATTATTCTTGTAATATAATGATGTTGATCATTATTCCTGTAAAATTGGTTGATTCTAACACAAGCACTCAAGGAACAAATAACACAACATAATGAAACGGTTTTTACTAAGTCAAGGGAAATAACTCTACAAATACTGGATAAATCCACAAGCGAAACCAAATTTGCACAACTACATATGCTGAGCAACCTTCCCGTAAGGTTTAATGACTCTATGTCAAATACTTTTTGAGTTACATGCGAAACAAATTGTACATTGCAAAATTTTACTAAATCAAGGGCAATAACTCTAAATAACTCTAAAAATACTAAATAAATCCAGACGAAAATACCCAAGTGCACAACTACACATGCAAATCAACATTCTTGTAAAGTTTCATTACTCCATGTCAAATCCTTTTTGAGTTACATGCGACACAAGTTGAAAATTGCAAAATTTTACTAAATCAAGGGCAATAACTCTAAAAATACTTAATAAATCCAGACAAAAAAACCAGGTGCACAACTACACATGCTGATCAACATTCCTGTAAGCTTCATGACTCTAGGTCAAATACTTCAGACGAAAATACCCAGGTGCACAACTACACATGCTGATCAACAATCCTGTAAAGTTGCATGACTAAAGGTCAAATCCTTTTCGAGTTACATGAGAAACAAGTTGAAAATTGCAAAATTTTACTAAATCAAGGGCAATAACTCTAAAAATACTAAGTAAATCCAGACAAAAAAAACCAGGTGCACAACTACACATGCTGATCAACATTCCTGTAAAGTTTCATGACTCTAGGTCAAATACTTCTTGAGTAACGTGCGACACAAGATGAAAATTGCAAATTTTTTCTAAATCAAGGGCAATAACTCTAAAAATACTTAATAAATCCAGACAAAAAAACCAGGTGCACAACTACACATGCTGATCAACATTCCTGTAAGCTTCATGACTCTAGGTCAAATACTTCAGACGAAAATACCCAGGTGCACAACTACACATGCTGATCAACAATCCTGTAAAGTTGCATGACTAAAGGTCAAATCCTTTTCGAGTTACATGAGAAACAAGTTGAAAATTGCAAAATTTTACTAAATCAAGGGCAATAACTCTAAAAATACTAAGTAAATCCAGACAAAAAAAAACAGGTGCACAACTACACATGCTGATCAACATTCCTGTAAAGTTTCATGACTCTAGGTCAAATACTTCTTGAGTAACGTGCGACACAAGATGAAAATTGCAAATTTTTTCTAAATCAAGGGCAATAACTCTAAAAATACTTAATAAATCCAGACAAAAAAAAACCAGGTGCACAACTACACATGCTGATCAACATTCATGTAAGCTTCATGACTCTAGGTCAAATACTTCAGACGAAAATACCCAGGTGCACAAACTACACATGCTGATCAACATTCCTGTAAAGTTTCATGACTCTAGGTCAAATACTTCTTGAGTAACGTGCGACACAAGATGAAAATTGCAAATTTTTACTAAGTCAAGGGCAATAACTTTAAAAATACTAAATAAATCCAGACGAAAATACCCAGGTGCACAACTGCACACACGTATCAACATTCCTGTAAAGTTTCATGACTCTAGGTCAAATACTTCTTGAGTAACGTGCGACACAAGATGAAAATTGCAAATTTTTACTAAGTCAAGGGCAATAACTTTAAAAATACTAAATAAATCCAGACGAAAATACCAAGGTGCACAACTGCACACACGTATCAACATTCCTGTAAAGTTTCATGACTCTAGGTCAAATACTTTTTGAGTTACGTGCGACAGAAGTTGAAAATTGCAAATTTTTACAAAGTCAAGGGCAATAACTCTAAAAATACTAAATAAATCCAGACTAGGTCAAATACTTTTTGAAATACGTGCGACACAAAAGAGAACGGACGGACGGAAGGACGGACGGACAATGGTAAATCTAAATGCCCGCCACTAAAGTGGGGGCACAAAAAGATGATTGTCAATCAGAATCAAAATTGATTTTTTTTCTTGCATACGCCACGTGATAATCTCCTTTCGCAATTCATACTTCCGGAATAAAATCAGGAAAAAAATCATGAACATTTTCAACATGAATGCAATGTAAATGATATGATCAAATAAAACGGTTTAGCAGTTTCAGGCATGCGGGTAATTAGTTTACATCCATAAGATGGGCTGAATACAATTCAATGTAACCTTTACCTTTCAAAAAATGTACTGATTGAACAATGAACCTTAATTGATGGTTTCAAACGATAGTCTGCCAAAATGACCGACAAAACAAACTTTTTTTATTGAATGAAGTTATTGGTAAAACATTTCTGGATGATCTGATTTTGGCCATGTGTATGGTCTATCGTACTCACACATCATTATGTTTTTAAACCTATTTTAATTATTTCCGGTACGGGCAGGCATCTGATTAGAACCAACGGCCTTCCCATAGCTGGATAGCTTCCTCACATAAAAGAAATTCGTTTGCTCTGGTTCGAACCCACGGCGGTGTCGGGCAAGTGATTTTATGTCCTGAGACCTATACAGTGAATGAATCTAAAGTAATTAATTCTCTATCAAAACTTCTTACTTACATTTACATGTACTCAATTTTCACATCTATTAAGCGCTATAAATATTTTATGAACTACGACTTAACCGTGGCACCAAGGAAACTGTAACTAAGTCCGAAATAAAATAAAAAAAGATCTGTTTGATAAAGGAATGTCTAACATGATTAAATGTACACGTTTATTTTTTGCTTTACTTGCATAGTATATGTTTATTTAACGCTCATATTGCTCTATTTTTAAATGAACTTGTCCAGTTTCCATTTTCGGAACTGTCCATTATCAATTTTAAGAATGTAAAAATGAAAATATAAGGCAAGTCAAGCACACAATTGTAAAGGGCCTGGTCAGACTGCACGGGCCAACAAGCTGGCTTTGCTTATGTAAATGATGACAATGGCTTATATGTTTCGATTCTAGAATGATCTTTCAAATAGTATTTGAAAGAACCTGGTTTTTTTATCGGGTTAAAGGTTAAAAACGTAAGTAACATACCTTTCTGTAATCGCAAAGGTAGAAAAAGAACAAAAGTAATCCAAATATGTACACATGTTTAAGGAAAACATCTAATGGAGGTGGTGGCCTCACCGACGAAAATGTCTTCACACCATTTTCTTTTTCGTTTACTACTGATTTTACTTTATTTGTGTCAACAATTTTGTCATCCTTTTCAATATCCACCACCGATGTTTGCTGCTGTTTTACTTTTTCAGTGTCAGCTTTGACACTACCGTTTGAATTCGACTCTTTTCTAGTTACTGCGTCATCATTTCCATTTGGTTCCCGGTGGGGTTTACCGGCGTAGCGGAATAACCAAAGAAATGTGCACCATGCCCAAATAAAAGCGAAACTCAGCTGACCTGCTGTGACATCATAGTGTGGGTTTGTGTGATCGTCGTAGGCCAATTCTGTTGCAAACCTTCGGAAAACGTGTGAGAGATTCATTCTGAAGCGAAACAAACATGTCAGTGTATAGGTTCATCATAGATAGTCGTTTGACAATATAAAAATGTATATAATAAATGTGTCCTAATTGTTAAACGTAAAACTGACTGTCACCACTCGAATTCCGCTTTACAAAACAGAAGTAGGTTTTCAATCAATTTGAAGAAATCAATTTGTAGAATCTATATGAAACAAGAACAGGTTCTGGACACAGAGAAACTACTTCTTGTCGATATCTTTTAGTTTCAGTGTTATGTCTCGGACAAAGTTAACAATGTAAACTTGAAAAAAGACAATAACTCCAAAATTAGGCAAGACAGAGTTTTGTTTCTTTTGCACTACACTTTTACTCAATGAGATCTATCCACCTACATTTTTTTTGTTTATACCTCTTGTAGTTACAGAGGTATGTCCCGGACAAGAAAAGGGGACGGACGGACGGAATCTCTCTGAGTTGACATTTTGGATTTTTTCTTTGATCTTCTTTGATTTCTATAACCATATAAGCAACGTATTTAAACCCCATGAGTAACCCTTTTCCCCATGAGTACAAGTCGGTACGGAATGAACATGGATATTATTCCATAATGTCACTTGAGTTCGTACGTTCGGACGGACGGACAAAGCGACGACTAAGCTCTACCTTCGAGTAGCATAATAGTAGGTCAAACATGGTCAAAAAATACTATAACAGATAGTTATTAACCCACTTTGTGATGCCTTGCCAAGGTGATACAGGTATACAAGTTTTAATGGCATCAGAAATTTGGCAAAGTACAATTTGATTGATTGATTGATTGATTGATTGGTTGATTGATAAAACACAAATGTGTATCTCAAATAATGACAATAAATATATAAGGATATTCAAGTTTGTTTGTTTGTTTTATGTGTGTGTGTGTGTGTGTGTTGTTTTTTTTTTAAAGAAATTCAGGATTTATTTTCATCGAGTGGTATGAATTCAAGTATTTTTTGAGTACCGCTTTAAGTGAAATAAGATAATTTTCATACCACAAGGCGAAAATAAATCCTGTTTTATAGAAAAAAACTTGAATGTTCTGTTTATCATATACATTTTTCTCTTTTTTGACATTACAATTTGAAAGACCTCCCGTAAATTTTGTGTATCTGGTAAATTTAGACGAAAGAAGACTAGAAAGACACTAGTGAAAATACGAAAAATATGTTTCACTGCAGTGAAATATAAATTTTTACAGTGAAAATACGGAAAATGAAAATATGCATTTAAGCTTTCATCAATATTTCTCAATATTCTATTTATAAGTTAAGAAATATATTTGAAGACGTTATCTGTTGAAATTTATTAGCTATATTACCAATGAGTAACTTTTGGAATCTGGTAATAGCACACACACACGCGCGCGCGCACACGCACACGTAGCATGCTTTTGAAATTTAAGGTTGGACGCTTAATGGGCCTTTAAAATAGAAAGAATTTCTTAAGTGAGGATAACAAGCTCTTGAACATTTTGAAGATTTATTACGTACTCTATACTCTTATATTCTTATTATACACTTGTGTTCTAAAAATGTTTTTGAAATCAACGCATATTTACTATGATAGAATGAAGAACATAATAATGATGTTGATCCATATTTTTAAAAATCTATTATGTATACATAATGATTGCAAAAATATAAAACAAAATATAAAAAAGTGATTCAAGATGTTACATTCACAGTCTGCTCTTAATTAACTCAGAAACGTATAAGGAAAATTTCTTCAGAAAGGGCAAACATTAGTTTCATAGCGTTTCAAAATGGTTTCAGAGCATGTTAGATGCTTTCCACCTGAAAAAAGTAGTGCTATATTTGAAATTATTTGTCCTAAAAGTAGCAAAATGTTAACAAAGTAGTATTTGGATTTCCATACACTTAAACTGTATTTAATTCTTAAAAAGCAACAGGATCAAAAATTGTTCAGGCAGTTGGTCAGGGAGTTATTTAGCTTTTTTTTGAAACTATAACAGGACCCGAAAAATAAAAAGCTTTTGAGAAATAAAAATATTAGCATCTTTTAGGCTTAATGGACCTTTAACAAATTGATTTAGTTATTTATATTGTTGATTGTTTAATCAATAATCTTCCTTGATATATATATATACATCAAAAGATGTAACAGCTGTATATTTAATTGAAAACATGTCATTAAATTGTTGTAAACTTTGTCCACCTCTCATCGACCTATCTCAATGAACAATTGTGCCTGGTTGCGAATATAATACAATATGATATCGATATGATATGATATCGATATGATATATGATAATGATACATGATGCATGATTTGATATGATACATTATGTTGATCGATGCATGATATGATATACGATATGATATATGAGGAGGGCCAATCGCTGACAACAGCAATTACTTTTATTTAGAATCAGGTCACATAAATGCAACAACATGATTAAAAAGATATTTTTTTAATTGTGGGCATTTTAATTATATTTTCAAACTCTATCCAATAAACATAGAATGACTATAGCTATAATGAACAGGTGGGACAGTAGTTTTCGTATGTAACAATTTAACAAGATACAATGTGTAAAGGTAGTCGTAAGGTTTTTGTTTTGTTTTTGTTTTAAAGTATCTTCGTATATAAAAACAAATTGAATAGGTAATTTCAAATCTAACGGAACAAACTGAAATCATTACACGATTGAGAAGTAATTTCTACAACTTTTACTATCAATGTCCTTGGCGCACGGGAGCACGATTTTTCCAGTAATAAATTATTTACATTAATGCGAGCACTTTGGGCAGTAAAGTTTCATCTATTTCTACTTTCTATTAATAATTAAGAATAACTATAGACGTATTTAATTTTTTCTATATTAAATGAAGAACTTTTAACTGTAACGAAAGGAATCAGACGCAGTAACGCCCTTTTCGAAATTAAGTGAGCAAAGCTAATACGTTTTAAAATAAAAAATATAAGTTTAAAGAGGATAACAAGCTCTTGAACATATGAGCTAGAGTATTTAACGCGTCATACATTATATTGTGTCAAAAAGTTTTAAAGTAGATATTTATAATAAAAAGAACCTATATGAGTTATAATTAAAAATCATTTTTCAAATGATTGAAAATTACAATAAATGATCAAGATAATTCATCTGTTTTAATAACCCAGGAATATCAATGGAATCTTCACAAACATTAAAATACGTTTCTTTTAAGAGCTTTGAATAAATAGTGCTATAAAATTAAAATTTGCAAAAAAGTAAGAAAAGTTAAGTTTAATTGGAGATAACTTAAATTTATTTGACCTAATGCAACAATCAAAATTTGTTCATAAGTGTCATTATTTGGCTTTTTGAACTATAAGGAAAATAAAAGCTTTAGGAAATAAAAATTAGAGTCTTAAGCAAAGGACACCTTAAACAAATAAGTTATTTATTGGAAGTATAATAATTTCTGTAATATAAATAAAGATTAAGCTGCAATTTATTGAAATTTAATTGAACTTGTCACATCATGATATCTTATGATAAGGGAACATAATATATGATTTGAATTTGAATTATGATATCGATATGATAATAAAGAATATAATAAAATTTTGTACTGCAACAAAATGATCTCTGAATTAACGCGAGAATGAGGAGGAATGGACAGAATTCATATTTATTAAATCGTATAAGCGAGCAAATGTAAAATAGATATGATTTGAGTTTAAAATGTGAGACAAAATATTTCAAACGTTTCCATAAATAATGAATTTGTTATATGAACAGTGATAGTAAGTTTCTATGTAATTTAACAAATACAATGTGTAAAGTGTCGTTTTTTGTTTCTTGTTTAATTTTCGTATATAACAAATTGCAATGGTAATAATTGAACCTAACGGAACAAGACTTGAAAAGTTCAGATTGGGGATAATTCTGCTCTTCAGATTTATTTATAATCCTTGCACCATGACGTCACATGATTAATCATATTATGGAGCTTCTGCGAAGTAAAATATTTACATGTATAATAAATTAATAATGAAGTATATGTTATCCCCTGCATATAAAAAGAGTAATTGAAGAGCAAGGAATCAGAACGAAGTTAATCCCTTTTTCGAAAAAAGAAAAAACATTAAGTAATCGGTTTTAAATTTTAAAAAGTTTTAATTTAAGAGAAAGACCAATTTGTATAAAAAAAGGGCTAAGAGTATAACGCTATAATATTTTTGACAAGGTCAAGAGACTCCCTTTATACGTTTACCACATATTAAGCAATACACAAAACTTAAAGTCAAATTCGGTAACTCTTTAAATACAGGAGATAAAATCAATCAATGAATACAGTCTTTGCTTGTTTTTCCTGACAATTATTAACATGAATAACGAAAATCTTGTAGGGAAAAACTGAAATATTGACTATGTTAAATTTGTTCCATAGATAATTTGGGGTAAGATTTTAAATGTTTTAATATCCTTGAAATGGAATTAGATGGACACATTAAAACGAAGCGGCCGAGCCCACGCAATATTTGAAGTTGAAGCAGTGTTTTAGGTGTTTTTCATTTTGTAATAGGGGTAAAAATAAGTTGATATGGATATGATTCTGTGCACTTTATATCTAGAACTTATTACATTGTCACATATTTGAATTTATGTTTTAATGATAAGGAACATATTTATTTGTTAATTAATCTTTCCTTAGAATAGAATTATAGTAAAATATGTCATCAACAGAAATTAAATTAAATCAAGTGACGCGAGTTGAATAGACAGATTTCCCATTAATTACAATTCTTAGTCGACTAAAATTATATTATGATTTAGAAAATAGGAACAAAATCAATCTTCATATAAATTGTTTATGTTATAGAATTTTTTACATTCAACTTAATTAAACAATGTTCAATGTCACATTGACTATGATGTGTCAACATTGCTTGTACATGACCATACGCTGGACATTACAGTAGGGGTTTTGCAGTATTAGTTATAATTGAAATTGTACGTGTAAAGTATTACATACTTATGAATATGAAGTGAAATACATGATTTAACAAAAATAGTGTTACGCATATAAAAGAGGGTATTGAATGAATGATTAAATGAATTATGAAGATTTTCATAAAAAAATAAACAATTTCAGTTCACATTTTTAACATTTAATGTTAAATGCAAATTTTCCAATTTGTAAAAAGGCTTCCAAGCATGTAATTCTAAATGGACAAGGGTCAGACTTCTGTACATCAAAACATTTATGCATTAAAAACTGACACTCGATTTATACATGAGATAATTCTTTACGAATCATTTTGTTTTATTCTAAAACCATGTTTTATAACTATTCTGATATATTCATTTATTGTTCCATAATAATTGTAATCACAACATTTAAACTTGCTTGTACATTAATCAAAAATATTGATTGTACGTGGGGCGGGCATATAATTTAATTTAAGATGTTTTTGGTCATTTTCATAGGCAAAAATAAAAATACGTTCCCTGTCGTCACAGAAAAAGTAACTAATGTAAGAGCATCTGAATATGACTTTTCTAAATAGACTATCGTTATCTCTTTCCCTGTCGTCAAAATATGTAAAGGTATGCTCTGGAGTGCGGGTAACTAGTTAACACACTGTGGATGTTCGATATATGTATACGTATACGATTTAACTCTGACACATTTTCAACAGAAATGTCCAAATATTTCATAATATAAATCAGTGTTTTAATGTTATAAGCAACAGTATTACATCCTAATTGCTAATATTACATAAGTGATGAAAGTTTAACAAAAGTTGAAATATACATGTATACAATTTTAAAGTTGTACTTACTCGTTGTAAATTTATACAATTTAATTCCGCTTTTATATTGAAAAGGTGAATTAAACGTTGGTTTACTGTAAAGATATGTTACGCATCAGAGGAAAGTTTAAAGTCATAAAATTTCATCGAACGAAAAATCGACGATTTATTCCACATGTTACATTTTCACATGTACATAAACAGTCACGTGATCCAGTTAAAAGTTTTCAATATACACATTAATCTTCCACCATATTTTACAGACGAAAGAATTCATGTACATGTAAAAAAGAAAGCGTCCGATCAGCAGTGGTCGCGGTATGTGTCACTATGTCAACAATACATTACTTAGGTGCTTACACCTGACAAGTTGGATTACTAATTGTCTTTGTATCATACGTTAAGACAACCTGTCACTTTTCTTAATTAAATTCCCGAACATTGAATTTTATAATCACACACATTTATGAAGTATATAATGTCATTATATAATTCAGGTTTTGTACGATGACGCGGGCATGTAATTCACGAGGATTTAAGATTTCTTCATCGTAGGTACATGTTTAATCAAAAATCAATAGTCGATGTTGCGATAAACGTAACTTTGTAGGCCATTTATGAACTAAATAATCAATAGTGTTTACATTATTCAGAGTTCAATAAGTTATTTTTAAATAGTTTATGACTCCTTTTTCCCTTACTCTGCTTTACCCGGTCAATATCTTAAATGCACTTGTCTCAAATTCAGTAGTGAATGAATAGCATGTGTTCAGATGGCACATAATTTAGTGTACACTAGTTGCGTGGGTTGACATTAAGCTGATCAAAGGATAAAAAGCAAACCGTTTTACGCTCGAGTTGTTTCAAATATACAATACATTTATTATTATTACTATAACTCTGGGAATATGTTGTAGTCGGTAAGGCATGAAAAGACGTTTATCCGAGTGTATTACGTATATATCATCATGTTAACGTAGTGTCATTATAATTTCTTTTGAAAGTATTATCACGGGCGTGTCTGTGCCGACTTTCTCATGCACAATGATTTAAAGTACGGTAATATAAAAGTAGCAATTTTAGTGACGAAAAATCATATTTATGTATGTCTGTAAGCCGTATAGGCCTCTGTCAGAGAAAGTGAAGAGATAAAATAATTTAATTTTTTACCAGCAATTTCTAATAATCTCCGGGGCATATTTAATATCAAATAACAACTCTGACAAATCTCTGTCAAATAAGTAAGTAAATAAATACATACATAAATAAATAAATAAATAAAATGGGGTATGGAGCAACGTTTCAATTTAAGGGAGGTCACTCGAAAGATCAATATTCAAAATATCGAGAAAGTTGTCTCCCTTTTTAATGTAAAGCTATTTTTTGACGCACACTATGGCTTAGCCCCTTTGTTTATTTATTTATTTTATTTTTTCCTTGCATTTTGACAATGAGTGTAGTTCTAAAGATGTTTAGAGTTTAGCATGGAAGTCAGAATACTACATTGCATTTAATCGTTATAAAACTCAGGTTTGCCCTTATAAAAGACGGAAAATATATTTTTTTTCCTTAGGCATAATGTGTCTTTACAAAATCGTGGATTGAATAATGTATACATTATCATTCACCTCAAATACTAAAATGATCTAATTTAAAACTTGACATACTTATTAAGGGAGCATGTTTATAGGCAATTATTCTTGCATGCATTGAGATTACCCTCCACAACTGCGTAAGATTTTCACTTAAGACTTCGCATGGACAGAATGCATAGAGAAAATTCTGAACTTTAACATGTTACGAATATAGACTGTTAACTTTATCTTTCTATATTAATTCATTAATGTAAAAAGTGTAGCCATATATCATAAAGAATCGCTGAAAATTTTTACAAAACATTTATCAATATGTCTGGACATTATTTCAAGACAGTCCAATTTTTTAAAAGTAATTTTCGTAATTTTTGCTTATGATGCCGCTAAGTTGTCTGTGTTTTCGATTGTTTTCTCTTGGGGTAAAGAACTAGATTCATATTCTGTCTGCAGAACCCTGGTTTCTAGTTTTTTTCCTCTCTCTCTCTCACTCTTTTCAAATTTATTTTCTCCAAATCAGTTATAGGCTGAAGTTTAAATTGCAACAGTATTCCACAATATAACTATGTAGTATCGAAATGCTAACAAGAACATTTTGAAAAGAAATATGTGAGGCGGGATTTAAGGCACACTATGTATGCCTCAGTTATAAAACATTTAAATAATGGTTTAACAGCAAGTTAGATGTATATCACCTGAAGAAAGTAGAACTGAATATGAAATAAATAAACTGTAAACAAAGTAGTATTTTGACTTCAATACAAAAATACTAAATCACAATAATTTTACTAAGTGCCAAAATGTAACAGAAGCAAAAATGGTCATGAAACTGAAACAAGACACCAAAGGTAAAACGTTTTTGAGAAATAAAAAAGGTTTTTTTTTATTAGGCATAATGGTACTTTTAATGATAGGTCCATACTCTGACCTTCTAAATGAATAACAGCATGTTTAACCAGAAACTTTGATTTGTCATGTTGCTAATGAATACGTTGTGGTTATAAATTCTTATTGTAAATATCGAATCTAGCAATTTGGTTAAGAAAGATTAGGATGATATTGGGATCTATGAATTGGTAGACTCATTATTCCTAGAAAGGTGTAGCTAAGTCGAAATTAGTGAATTTATTTCAATTAAATAACTGTATCAACTAGATATATTAAAGTCTTAACGATCGATGAAGCTCTATTTAGTTTTGCAAGGCTTTTGCAGACTAATACTTGTACAACAAGATAATATGTCAATGTGTACACTAAACCTAAGGGACAACTTCTTTGTACATAACATAATGATCTGCTTCTCGCAGACAACACTTCCAAAAGCAATATTTTGTCTCTAGTTTTTGATCACAAGACGCGGTTCTTTTGTACTTACCAGCTTGTTCTAAACGACATCTCTCTAAAGGACAAAAACATATCAAAATGTGTATGTAATATTAATGCAATGGTTAACACCATATGTAACGGACCATATTATCAAGTCAGTGCAATGGAATTTCTGTGGCTATAAACTTAAGATCATAAGATCATTCATGAATGAATCAGCTTCCTTGTACAATAGAATAGATTCAACAAAATTGCAAGCGTTTCAGGCAATTCATATACTTGGTAAAACTCTGGCTTTAGCTAGATCTGTAGTTTCAAGACCATGATATGCAAGCAGTTATTTAAAGCATGATTCCAACAGATTCATGCTAATTTTCATAAACATTTTGAAAAATTAATGTATTAAAAAGTAAAATATTGTGAAGTGAACAAAGAAAGTTATATCCACATTGCAAACTATTTTCTTGAAATATTTGTGCCCATTCGTCTTGGGGGGGGGGGGGGGGGGTCTTCACATTTATACGTACATAGTGCTGTAATTGTAAAGTTGATACATCTGGGGTGATTACATGTATATGTAGTACTGCTGTAGAATTTAAATTCAAGAGTATTGTATTTGTGCAAGTTTATCAGAATAAAAAGGTAAAAGAAATTTCTGAGAAGGGAAGTATAGAGTATATTCTAAGACTTTTTTGATGTATATAACAGTTGATTTGTTTGCAAAATAAGTATAAAACATGTTAATTTATTTATTTTCAGGGTAAAACAACCCACTAAGCCGCCGCAGTGAAACTCAATCGACAGAAAATAGCAACTATTATTGTTATGTCTGTATTCGAGCACATGCATTACAGTAAGCTACCTAGGGGAATTTCTGTTTTAGGAAAGGGTAGACTCGTCGATCAAATTGGAGGCTGTTATAAACGGCTCAAAGTTCTAGTATTTTATTTATTATCAGTACAGATGAGATTACAATGCGTAACTGCTGACTGCAGACGGAAAACAATTTATTGCTAGGTCGTCGTCTACGTGGGCTAGATGATTATGTCTCGTTCTTATGTCTATCTACCCTGTCGATCGATCTTTAATCATATAATACGATTTAAAGCAATTCTGTGGCTTAAATTAGTACAAATAAGCCGCGTCACGACAAAACCAACATAATGGGTTTGCGACCAGCATGGATCCAGACCAGCCTGCGCATCCGCGCAGTCTGATCAGGATCCATGATGTTCGCTATCAGTTTCTCTACTTGTAATAAGGTTGGTAAGCGAACAGCATGGATCCTGATCAGACTGCGCGGATGCGCAGGCTGGTCTGGATCCATGCTGGTCGCAAACCCATTATGTTGGTTTTGTCGTGACGCGGCTCAAATAAGTTAATTCAAATTGTGTCTATCCAGTCTGGGAGACGACTTCGATTCTGTTGCTTACATGAAGATTCGATAATATATTAATAAGGCCATATAGGATGATTGATTTTGTGGATCTCTATAGGTAATAATAATAACAACAACAACAACAATAATAATAATAATAACAATAACAAGAATACAGAAGTAATAATAAACAAGAGGATCGAGGAATGGCTTTCTTCCTTATCAAGCTTCATAGTGGCTACCGTCATTGGTGAACTTCACAAATAAACTGTTGTGATTTATTGTTGTCCAGGGGACTCAAGGTGACGTTATGTGATATCCTGCTAGAAGATACTGAAATTCTTTTCTAATAATATTGTTTATTGCTCTAACAAATGCATTCATTCATTGAATATTAATCCCCCACCAAACTAGACTCCGGATCTGCGCATGTGCAATACTACAAGCAAGGTCTGTTATGTTTAATGTTTTAAGTCAATTATGACAGTTACATTTAAACTTACAGTTATAATTGCTATACTGAATTTGTCTACAGGTATTACCAAACTCTCGTGCGATGAGCAGAAGACACTTACTGTTTATAATGATTCAGGCGTTTTCTGAAAAAAAAAGTCAAATGTGTAACCTGTCTGAAACCTGCAATCATGGTGGGGCATTAGTACTGGTATCTCACAAACTGTTTAAATTGTTTGCAAGTATGGGACATTCACGTTTTTCACTAACGGCTATCGTTTGCATATATTTTGAAATGATTGTCAAATTGCCAGATCTACCATTAAATAATACTATAAATATTTATTTCATAACAAACGGTTAGTAATTACACTCGTAAACTTTTGAAATTTATTTACACATTATTTTAAAAATACTTATTTATTTGAGTTGATTCAAGTCTTCTATTGCAAATGAATAACCAAAATGAATCGCCAAGGAAGAATTCAAGGCAATAACAACAAAAAGTTTTTTTGTTCGATGCACTACCCTGATGACGCTGGTGAAGTAGTTTGTGTTTTCTCTTGTTGAACAGTACCAAAGATCTGTTGACAAAGCTTGATTTTTCTTCTTTTTTAATTTCTAAGGTCAGTCTATCAAAGTTTAAGATCGCAAGTTTATTTATTCGACATTGATAGTAGACAACACTACTTTGAAACGTGTAGCTATGACAATTTTTCATATATATTTGGGCAAAGAGGGAATCTAATAGACCAAACAAGGACCCAGGTGGTACACCGTTCATGAAAGGGGGTAAAACT